CTGCCCAAAGAACATGTTTTCTTAAGTAGGTTCCTCTCATTGATATCAATATCTCCTGTTTTCCATCAAAGCAATGATCAAAATATATAAGGTTACTATTCATAGGTTTAATTATTTATATCCTATTTCCCTCAACCACACAGGAAGATTCATACCCATGAGGGCAACAACTTGCTGGAAATGTAATCCCTGGGAATCTCTAGAAGAAAATCAGAACAATAAGGCAAGACACAGGTAAATCCTAGGGTAGCAGCCACTTGTCTTAGTTATTGTTCTCCCAGCATCTAATCAAGGACTTAATCACCTAATGAAAGAATGGGTAAACGAGTTAAGGATGAATGAATAAATGAAAGTCTTAGTGGCCAATGGCATAAGGCGGAGACATATTAGATTCTTAGACACATGAAATCTAGGTTGAATCTAAACACCAGCAGGCATCTTTATACAGAAGGTGTAAAAGAAGACCTCCACACAGCATTAGAGCCCAGGGCTCTTTCTTTGAATTCTTTCTTGGTCAGTGGATATTTCCTTCCCCAGGACAAACACAGGCATAGTGTCTAACACCCTGTCTTTTGAGGGAAGGCAAGGACCATAACAATCCCCCAGTTTCCAGGTGTGGTGGCGCACCTCTGTAATCCCACTGGATTGGGAGGCTGAGGTAGGAGGACTGCAAGTTCAAGGCCAGGCTCAATAACTTAGTGAGGCTCTAAAGCAACTTAAGTGAGACCCTATCTCAAAATAAAAAATAAAAGGGGCTCTAGATGTCACTCAGTGGTTAAGCACCTTTGGGTTCAATCCCTAGTACCAAAATAATAATAATAATAATAAACTAACTCCCCAGTCACAATGAAACATCCCTTCCCCATTCTTCCTGAGGGTTCTACTGGCAATTCCAGAACTGCTCCTATGTGTGAAAAAGCTCTTCCTGTGTCTACATGTCTTGATGTTCTGGGATTTAGACTTGCACTCACCAAAGCACTGTCCGTGTGCTGCTGGCATCCAGCTATAATTCCTCATTCTGAACAGGATGCATCTACTAGCATCCTGGCTCCATGCCAAAACTTGTTAATGCCACATCTCTGTTTTTAAGAATCAGGTCCTAAAAATTTGCATATGTTTCATTAGAAAAAGATGTATATCTTGCTAGCAATTTAAGAAATAAAAATGCTCTTAGTTCTATGTCTGCTCAAATACAAGACTGCACAGTAGGCACGCAAACATTCCAAATGTCAGGGCAGATGTGGCACTAGGTCTCACATGATGCCTTGGTTTGGTTCCTTGCTGCCCCATCTCACTGAAGTTCAAGGACCAAAGCACCGCTTGGGTAGTAGGGGTCCAAGGAAAGCACCTTTGTTGGATGGAAATGAAGTTATTTATTGACACAAATGACTGCCACATCAAATGGATTTTCCAGGAAGAAAGTTATGGAGAATTGAACAGCTGCTTTTCTTGTATATTTTCAAGTGAGAAAATACAGTTAGGGCTCCAGGAACACATTTTCACAGTCAAAAGTTGTAGGTTGGGCTGGGGATGTGGCTCAAGCGGTAGCGCGCTCGCCTGGCGTGCGTGCGGCCCAGGTTCGATCCTCAGCACCACATACAAACAAAGATGTTGTGTCTGCTGAAAACTAAAAAATAAATATTAAAAATTCTCTCTCTTCTAAAAAATAAAATAAACTAAAATAGTGCTTTAGAATGGCCTTTGGCTCTGACAGCCTAAGTTCTTCTTTAAAAAAAAAAAAAAAAGTTGTAGGTTGAGGGGCCACGGTGAGAAGGCAGTGATTGGATACACATTGTTAGTATTCGCATGAAGGCAACTACCTGATGGAAATGTGACTCCATGCATGGAGTCTTCAGAAGTAAACTAGAGCAATAAGGAAGCCACATGTATATCATTGGCCTAGAAAACAGAGATGTGCATGAGCTGAGGAGGAGGGCAGTAGAAAGCAATAAAAAGCAAAATCTAGGAATATGTGCTGGGTTTAAGTAACACAGACTACATAATTTGTGGGGCTCAGAGCACAATGAAAATGGGGGGCCTCTTATCTGAAAAGTATTGAGAATTTCAAGATGGTGGCCAGAGACTTAAACTAAGAGCAGAGCCCTTCAAACCATAGTGTCCTATGAATTACAGAGGCCACATACTGGGATGAGAGTCACGGTAGGGAAAAGCTAGTTCTAAATTCTGTACAAAAGCAAAATTCTGTAAAAAAAAAAAAAAAAAAAAAGCAAACGTCCCCCAGTTCACTTTGCTCTCAGAAAATACTATCCTTGAATGATCATAGTGAGACGGATAAATCATGCCAGCTTGGCATCCAGAAGTGGCAAAAAAGGGAGGAGTCGTCAGGGTTGTTATGCTAATTCCAAATTGTTGTAAATTTTAGAGGAACTTTTTCTAAATTATGATTCATTTTAGCACCAAAATTCCAGATTCAAGTCAAGCCTTCTGATGCTATTATGAGCACATTACTAATGCCTAGTAAAATAACATCTTGTAATGTTTCTTTTATAAGGGCCATAAATCAAAACATTCAAAACAGTTAATTGTTAATGTACCACTATTATCCATCTTTAGTTATAAATTTAATGTCTCCTTAGGCCTCACAGATTGTAACGCAACTTAAAACATGCAGTGGCTGTTTAAAAATAGAAGGTTTCCCCAGTTATCTCGTTATTCAAATCCTTAAAGATACAGTTTTAAAAGCCTGAGGATATCTGAGCAAACTTGTTTAAAGGAGTCATAAAGAAAGATAAGTAGTTTTCCTCAGAAGCCAATAAAATTTATTACAACATATTAAAGTAGGATTATCTATTGACTAATTTTCTGTAGACACTTGTTTTCTGGGGTGCACAGTGTCTGGGGAAGTTCATGTAGAAATAAAGAGGACAGGGATCAACGCCATCATCTACCTTTGCCTTGAGCTAGGCAAGATTTTCTATGTCTCTTAGAGCCAATTCCTTCCTAAGGATGATGACAACAATGGGGATCATATCTCAGGGAATGGCACAGTGAATGTCATGAATCTTGAGAAAGAGCAATAAAAATCTTTATTTTTCAGCAGGAGACACAAATGCAGCTTTGCACCCTGATGCTTGCTTACAGCAAAGAAGTGACTTCCTAGAAGGGCTCTACTTCTTAAGGCAATTCTCAAACTTAGAACCTTTCTTTGTCTACCTAGTCCCTACATGTTAGGGGCAGGTTTTATATGTTTGCTTTTTAACGTTTTAAAATTTTCTCATTTAACATTGATTGTCTTAGGTCAATTTACACTTTCATTAGCAATGCAATGCTTCTCTGAAAGTTATCCCTAGACAGTGAGAACCTCAAGGATTTCTCTGGTTTCCCCACTTCCACACATTGACAAGCTTCCCTTTGGAACCACTCTGTATCTGAAATTGTTGATTCCTGTGCTATTCCCTCTTTATCAGGAAAGGGAAAAGTGGTGAGTACCCAAAGGGAACACGAAGCAGCAAACTGATCCAAGAGGCATTACATCTTTGCTATGCTCTATCCAAAAACCAACCCTTGAGTGTTCCCTGTGGTCCCAAACACAGCAATCTGACACACTCAGGGGACCTACAGCATGTTCAACTAAGAAGTGAAACACAATAATGGTGCTGTCACCCATAGGCCAAACATTAGTTCTTGGTGAAAATTCTCCTGATCTCTCTAGCAGGTTTGAGAAAAGCAAGACTTGGGGAAGGGCATACATTTTTCAGTTATCCCAAAGAATTGTCCCAAACCTGTTGATTCTCCAGCAATGTGACATTTTATGTTTGTCTCAGAAAAAAAGAGAGAGAGAGAGAGAGAGAGAGAGAGAGAGAGAGAGAGAGAAGAAGAAGAAAAAGAAGAAGAAGAAGAAAAAGAAGAAGAAAAAAAACTGCATGTGGAATACTTTCTGAACAACAACAACAACAAAAAAGATCCTCATACACAATCTCCACAATTCCTTGTTCTGAACCAAATGTCATGGGCAATGTCAAGTTTAAAAGTATTTTGTGTAACGATATGAACATTGAACTCCAGGGCATTTGTAACTTTGTGTTAAACACCCAGCAATATATACAGGATAGGAACAATTCCCAGCAGCAAAAGCTGCTGGAGCCCAATGTCCCATTTATGACCATGTGGTAATTTAGACGTGTCACTATTCAACTACGCAGAAAGGATGGGAATAAAGGGTGGCTTCTTACTAGCTCAAAATCAGCTTTTAAAAGAATGCAACTCTGTTCAAAATGCAACATGTGTAATTTAAAATGCAAAGTTCCATAGAATTGTGAATTTTAAAGAAAGCAACAGATAAAATGTCAACAACGAGGCCTGCTAAAGTTAACATATCTGATCTAATCCATTTAAGAGTTACAGTTACCCATTCACCATTACTATGCCTTGATCCTTGTGTTTTCTTCAGCACTGCATAGAAGAGATAGCATAATCCATTAAATGGGCTTCTTAGAGGTGACAGTTTCAGCTCCATGAAGAGATAAAGTTTTATTTTCCTTATTCCTTGCCAAACATTTGACACAACCAGAAGGACGTGAGAGTCACACCACACTGGCATATCTGGTAAAAGCAAGCAGTTGGCTGAAAACCACAACTGGAGAATTCCGACAATTTCTGAGTCCACAATCATGCCTTAAAAAGTGGTATGCATCCTACTAAGGGCATAGTTTGCATCTCAAATAACACAGAAACACTGGAATCGTGCTAAACCCAGCCCAAACAAGGCAGAGCAATAATGTGGTTGGGGAGGTGGGGAGGTGAGGAAGGATGGATGGGGCTCTTGGGAATGGTGAGGGTGCGCGAACATTCTGCGCTCACAGAACACAGTAGCAAACACAGGGCACAATCACAAACATCAGCAAGCACAACTGAGCACGCGCACAACACAACACTAGAAATGCAATTTTTCTTTTGCTTTTTTTTTTCTTAGAAAAATGATATAAAAGATGGTTTCTCACCCCTCAAAACAAAACTGGAACTTTGGTTTACAGGCCCGGCTATGCCCATATGCCCTCCTCGTCATCCTGCCGCCGGCCCGAGGTAGGGAGGTGCACAGAGAGGAGGGGAGCACCAGAATGAAAGAAGAGAAGGTTAGTTACACAGAGATGCACTGGAAAGGCACATGAATCTTCACTTTTTTTTTTTTTTAATCTTAAAGAGCGAGGACCAAAATAAATAAATAAATAAATAAATAAATAAATAAAATCCGTAGTAACTTAAGTTCCACATGACTGACTTGTCAAATGCATAAGCAAGCTTTGTATCTACGGCAACCCCCACACAAAAACATTCACCCACCCAGTTCTGACTCTGTGTCAAGATTGGATTAGAAGATTAAAATTAGTCTACATTAGCAGATGATTATTTTTTGGAAAGCATACAATCTGAATTGCATATGCCTAAGGAGTAGATTAAACCTTTAAAGTAAGCAGAGAAGTAATTATAGTAATCAAATACCCTTAATTTCTCTTAAGCTTAAAGTATCAATAAAGACGGAATATGAACTTAAAAAAAAAGAAAGAAAATCTCCATCTACCCGGGTGGAACAAGCTTTTTTTGCATGCAATAATTCATATTGGTTATTTCACAAAGACTAAAGAATACTTCAATCTTATTTTTCAAGTTCTATTTTGCTGTCAGCATTAAGGAGGATGTGCATGCCATGGAATGATTATACATTTGCATGAAATGATTATACATTTGCAATCAAATAAGTTTAAAAGAGAGTAAACGTTCAATTCAGTAGAATGCTTATAGAAAGGAAGTTTTGTTTAACTTAACATTTTGTTCAACTGTGGATAAACTGAAACTAATTTGGTCTGAATCCTTGCTTAAAATGTTTCCAAAATGGCCTGGCCACTTTCTTCTCTTAGTCCAGAGACCAATATGCAGGAAAATGGAATCTTTGAAGACAGAAGTATATTCACCATCATAACATCCCCATTTTGAACAATTTTTCCTGTTTACCGGGAGAACTGACACAAAGTATATAAGACTGTGTGGTCCATATCCCAGTCTCACACACACAGTTTGGAAGCAGTGTTTGTTATTTAATAAATCCCAATGAAACCAGAATTTACTATGATTTTCTTCTTTGTTTTGAAAACCAGGGACAGGAAAAAAAAGAATATTTTTTCACGTAAATCCTTATTACTCAAGCTGTTATAATATTAGATTGAATCATATGAAAATGCCAATATTTAACCATTTTTAACCTGGAAAAACAGTAATTTCATATAGTTCAACCCAATCTTGCTAGTAAGCCAAGGTAATTTTTATCTACCTAAGGATTTAGATGTGTGGTATTTGAACTGACTCAATATAATTTCTTTCCTTTGTCACTCTATGTATTTTACTTTATGCTTTTAAAAATGTTATTCTAAGAAGAGATTCAGAAAGTTCACCAGACTGCCAAAGGGCTCAATGGCCCACAAAGGGACTTGAGTTAATCAAAGAATTTATACAGAATCTGAATTGGGCAATTTGGGAAGATTTTTCTCTTAAGAGTTTGGGTAGAGATATTCTGGGGGGGAAAAAAAAGACACATTCATGATTTTGGCTAGGTCATCTTACATAAAAATTACTGTTTGTTTGTTACTTGTCTAGTAATTGCTCTTAGCAATAAACTTTCCTTCTCCTATATGACTTGAGAAAAATGTAATTTTACATGCATTGAACTTCCTCCCTATCTCTGGAGAAAAGCAAAGTTGATGTTCTTTTTATAGTCATAAAGAAGGAAAGCATAGGACTGGGGATGTGGCTCAAGTGGTAACACGCTCGCCTGGCATGCGCGAGGCGCTGGGTTCGATACTCAGCACCACATAAAAATAAAATAAAGATGTCGAGTCCACCGAAAACTAAAAAAATAAATATTAAAAAAATTTATCTCTCTCTCTAAAAATAAATAAATAAATAAATAAATAAAAAGAAGGAAAGCATACATAGCATGAGACCCAAGAGCATCCACAAGTTGGTTTCAGGGGGTCTAGAAACCCCCTGAAATTCAATGTAAAAAGCTATTGAGTGTGAATGTAAAGATACTTCTCTGATTAAAGGCCTGAGCTTTCATCAAAGGTTACTGACCCCCAAAGGGCTGCTGTAGGAAAACTCCAAGCACAGAAAGATGCTATGATTTGCCAAAATCACAAAACAGGAGGCTTTCTCTAAAATGCAGCCTATGGCCCCTGCTGACCCCATTCTAAATGGCTGTAAAACAACTTTCCTTTCAGATCTGTTTATTTCATTGTGTATTTATAACTCAATAGCATATATACATGCAGTTTCTTCCAAATTCACTCATATACGTTTTTAATTGAATAATTAAAAAGTAGGAAAAAGAAAAGCTACTGCCACCAAAATCTACTGCTACTTTCTTAACAGTGAAATGTAGTCTAATGCAAGTCACTTTTAGCAAATTAAATATATTAAAAAGTGGTAATTAATTATGATTGAATCAGACAGGAGTTGTAGCTTGAAAATATACACTGCCAATATCACTACTGTTCCTAGTCCAACATAGGAATAAAAAGGAGCTCCCACATGTCGAGGGTTATTAAAAACCAGATGTTGAGATCGACGTCTTGTACGCTGGTGAATAAAGTAAAGAAATATGACAGTCCAACATAAACTGTGCTAACATTTAACATGGCAGAAATGTGGGTGAATTCCTTTTGTGAACTCAGAATATTGTGCATTTTTAAGAGTTTTTCATTTTTAAAGTTGAAAGAGTTCTTAAAAGAACTAGAAAGGGAGGTAGAGATCATTTCTGGTCTCTCTAGTCTTCAAAGTGTAAACATGAATTGACCCTCATCACCAAGTGATTTGGGTCAGAGTGAGTGTCCATTTGGGGAATAAAAACCAAAAGTGCAGGAGCTGATCAGAGAGGCAGCTCCAAGTCTTCCAAACATTTGCAGCTGTCTCACTGCCCTGCTGCCTGCATCTCTGTGTGCAAATATTAATTTCTTTAGCAACCTTACCACACAGAAATGTAAATCTGGGAACCCCCAAATAAGAAACAGATAAGTATCACTTGCTCTCTCACTATATGCCAAGTTATTTAGAAATACTTGGATTTTTAAAAGGCATCTATCAAACATGGGAGAGTCTGTTTCCTTTCCTTGTTTTTCTGTTTCCAAATCGACTCTGTAGCAGTTCTTCTGGATGCTGCCTAGTGCTTGATCCCTTGTGTGTCCTTTGAGAGTCACTGCTCTGCCAGAAGTTGCCAAAATATGTGGATGGGAAGAAAGGCTCTGGCTCAACAGTCATCTGTGTGCTTTTGTCCACAGCATCTGAGGCTGAAAACATCCAAGGTGGACTAAAGCCCAGAGCACAGCGTCCACAAAACAACCAGATTAAAGAGGAAGGCAGGCTTCACCATCAAGTAACCTCAGGACATATCGATAGCTCAAGGGATGATGGGATGGACAAGAGGCTGCATGGAAAGCCCAGATGCTGGGCTCTAATGAGATCCTCTAAACGCCAAGATAAAACAAAACTCCTCACTGATCAACTGCTCTCAGTGGCTGTGTTGATGACAAGATTGAAAAGCAAAGAAACTGAGTCATTGCTAAAGAGAGTACTGCTGTTGTGGGCGGCATTTATTAGCCCCAGCAAGAAAGTTCTGAGCAGGAACTCTATAATAGGACATTATAAACAGTATAAATTGATATACACCTTTCATTGATCTGTATTTTGATATATTAGATACAGCCAGCAGGCAGACCCAAGTTTATCACTGGATTTGCTTTTCAAAACACCTGCATTTCCCTTTGAGTTAATAGCCTGACTTTTTCCTTGACATTAGAAGGGCCATATGTCTAATGAGAAACTTAGAGTCACACCTCTCCTAGGTAGAAAGGAGGGTAGAATCAGCGAAGCGTCATTTTCAAATAGCCCACTGCCTTTGTGGCAACTCAGTGGCTGTCTCTGCCAGGAGGTTCAACCTGACTTCCTTGCAGGACAATTAGGAAAATCATAACTAGGTCTGAGTGGACAGAATCCAGAGCAACTCTCAGTTCTCGTGGCTTCTCTGAAATTTCAAGCTCTGAAAAGCCTTCCTCTGCAAATCACGAAGCAGGACCACAGTATGGGATTCATGATGTGCCCTGAGGCTGGATTCAAGCAAAGCAGATCCTCTTGGCATTTCTAACTATAGGCTTGGCCAGCACAGAGAATGGACAGACATGTGTGAAGGAAAATGACAGGCTTAGGTGTGAGCCTGGAAAAGAAAGGCAGTGACCTCATCAGGACACTATATTTTCTTCCAAGTTCAAGTCCATACTTTCCCTCTAGAGATTACTTATTGGTGTCTTCCATCTCTCCTACCCACTGCATAGCTTAGCCCATGGATAAATGTTTTTGTTCAGGTGATGGGTCAGGTATTACCTGACTTATATTTGCTATATCCTGCAGGACCCAAAAAACAGGAAAGTCCTATCCAGGTTCAGATACCTGCTCATTGATCTTTTTAAATACCCAGGCCAGAAAGAGCTAACTTGTATTAGTGCCTCCTCTCAGTTAGAGAGAGTTCTGGCAGCTGTACCTGTTTCTTCACAAGTCTCACCTTGGCTCAGAGACACAGGTGAGGGTTCTTGTGCAGCTGTGGGAAGAAAGGTTCAGGGACAGACACCTGGCCAGGAGCTGTGGAGTGAGGGTCAGATTCCAACCTAATGGCAAAAGTACACACACCCTTTTGACTCTGCCATATGAGCTGCAAAGTCAAAGAAAAAAAGAGCTCTGTTTGCCCCCAAATGGTGTTTGTTGGTCTGCTGAGCTCAGCTCTGAAGGACTCTGAACTGTGAACTGCCCTTTTTTCAGATCTCTTTTGAACCTTGGTAGGAGGGAAACACTACAACTTCAGCTGGGTCCCTCTGTGCTTTCTTGAAAGAAAGGGGTCCTCATGTGCTACTGCAAGCGTACATGTATGGATTATCAGTGGCACCTCACCAAATTTTAAGGACCTTGGGGGAAAAGGCAGCACCTTTACTTGCTTCATTCCACCCCATAAGATCTCAGTCATGGAAGC